AAGCGAGGTCTAGGACAGCCTGAAGTGCATAGCAAAACACTGTCTCAAAAAGACAAAACAACAAAGAAAAAAACACCCCCAGGGCCAGGGATATAGCTCAGCAACATAAACACCCCCCTGGCAGGTGTAAGACCCTGAGTTCCAACCCTGGTGCCACAAAATAAACAAAACAAACAAACAAACAAACAAACAAAAAAAAAACCTCCCAAAATAGTTTTCCCAAAATTGTCTTGTATTTAATATCCTACCATTGTATAATAAATGTAACCCTCAAAATTTCAGCTGATACTAAAATAGAAACTTTATATTTAGGATTCTAAAGCTCCTTACAACATTTTCGGCAACTTCCTTCTCCCCTAAAAGTGTAGGAAATGCCTTGAGCTACATTACACACACACAAATGGCCAGTGCCAGCATCCTGTGCCTGACAACAAAAGCACGCTGAGCAGCGGAAGGGGACAGCCCACGCAGGCTGCTGCTGACACGCGAGCGAGCGGCGGCGGGCGGAGTAGCTTCTTCGGTGTGAAATCCTTTCTGGCACACTGCCACGGTGGCGTTCATGTTCCTTGGTGTTTATAAGAAGAACCCCAAAAAGCACTGAGAAAACATTACAGAACTTGACGGAGAAGGAAACAAGGCCAACCAGAAAAGCAGTTACAATAAAAGAATGTATCCTTGTTAACAAAACAACTATCTGTTCACATCTATATTATTTGGCGACCAGGAAGGAGAAATATGCAAAGTTACATACTAACGTTAGACTTTGTGATCCAGGGCAGGCTTGCTTACGGTATATTAGTTATGCTTTGGGAGATTAGTCACAGTGAACGAGTAACCCAGCATAATTTAAACATTTAAAACAAAGGGAAATAGGCTCGCAGGTAATATTTGTGCGTGGGACACCTGATTTTCAGACACAAATTATTAAGTACATGTATGTATAACTCTAATAGTGAAAACTATGAAAAAGATCACTATGGTCCCTCCTGTCCATAAACATAGCTACAAGAATTCTGAACAGAATACTTTTTAAAATGACAAATGTGATTTCTTTCAGAAATGCAAGATTCAGTAAGCACTAGACAATTATTACTGCAAGTCATCAAGTTAATAAGTTACAAGAGAAAGTGTATTTACCACGAGAGTCAGAAAAAGAAGGAATGAAATTCAGCATTCATTTATCATAAAAGAGTAAGAATCAGCAAATTAGAAACATAAATTCCACAACATACTCAACATTAGGAAAGGCAGAAAAACATCATACACTTCATCCGCATAACCTAACTCTTAACAGTATTCCTTTAAAACCATGAGTAAGATGAGAGCGCACTATTATCACTCTGGCCTTGTTCTAGAGGTTCTAGCCCAGGCATTTCAGACAGACGGAAGCAAAGGGTGGGAGGGCCATCGAGATAGCTCAGAGGACCAAGCGCTTCGCTAGGTAAGCGCAGGGGACAGGCTTCAATCCCTAGCACAGCATCGCCCATCAGCCCTGCCCCAGGCGTGCTGAGCCAGCAATGGAATCCCGGCATGGCGGAGCACCCCTGTAATCCCATCACTAGGTAGGCGGAAAACAGGAGAATCACTAGAGTCTGATCTGTAGACCCTGTACTAAATATATTAAAAAACAAACAAACAACTTCTGCATCGTTTGTATGGCGATAACTAATCGACTCCAAATTTTCAGCACAAAATCCCAGGTACCTACCACCGTCTGCCTCTGTTGTTGCATGTCATCCCACCACAGGCCTCACTGCACAACCAGCAAACCATGGCCCAATGTCCCCAGGCCTGGAGTGACGGCAACACACTCTTCTCCCAGGTCACCTCCAGACCTCCTCACCTTTAATTGCACTGGAAATGTACCAGAAGTCTAAAATACTAACTTTTAAAGATTTATAAGAATTAGGATTAAAAAACTGGGGCCGGAGGGCCAGCCCGATAGCTCAGCAGATTAAAGTGCCTGTTTAGGCAGATGCAGGGGTCAGAGGTTTGATCTCCAGCCTGCCGTGCTGGCCCTGCCAGCCTTGCCCCAGGCGAGCACTGAGACAGTGATTGAGACTGGGAGTGGCAGTGCACAGCTGTAATCCCAGAGCTTGGAAGCTCAGAACAGGAGAATTTCTACAAATCAGATCTGTGTAATGAGACCTTGTATACCCTGTAGACCTGGTACTAAATATGAATAACAGGGCCTGGGGAGATAGCTCAACAGCATAAGCACCTGCCTAGCACACACAAGGTCCTGAGGTTGATCCCTGGTTTAAAAAGAAAAAAAAAAAAAAAAAGAATTAAAAAACACAAAATAGCTCAATAATTTTACATTGATGGTATGTTGAGATAATATTTGGCATAAGTGAGGTTAATATTAAAGTCAATATAGGCTGCTCATATTTTTTATAATGTGATAATTCAAAAGTTTTATATCATATTCCTGCTGGACATGGTGGTACCTGCCTGTAATCCCAGCACTCAGGAGGCTGAAGCAGGAAGACTCCCACTAGTTCAAGGCCAGCCTGGGCTACCTAGTGAATTCAAAGCCAGCCTGAACTACATAGCAAGACCCTGTGACAACACACACACACACACACACACACACACACACACACACACACACAAATTAAAGTAAAACTGCATTCATAGCTCTCACTGTACTTCGTAGCTTTTTACCCTTTGTTGCGTCCTTCTCGGCTCTCGGTGTTGTGTGGAGCTGCAGTATCCACGCTTTTACCGTGTTAATATCTTCATCGTCCAACTGGAAGATAAGACGGGCAACCTTGTCTGTCTCATTCATTCCGGGTAAGACTGAGCCTGGAGCACAGTAAGTACTCAGTTTGGGTTCTGTTGTTTTATGTTGCCGTTTTTAAGAATGGCCTGACTTCTTCTGGGCGTGGTGGTACACACCTGTAATCCCAGCACTCATGAGGCTGAGGCTGGAGGATCTCGGGGCGTTCAAGGCCAGCCTAAAGTACACAGTCAGTTCAAGTCTAGCCTGAACTGCATAGCCAGATCTCGTCTTCAAAAAGAAAGACCTGATTTCCTCATCCAGAGTGCTGTGGAACCCCAGAAGACCGCGGCTTTCTTTCCTTTGGGCTGTTTCGCACTGACCATATGTTCTTGATCCTAGGAGGAGAGGTGACAGGACGTCCACACTTGATCTTTTTTATATCTCTTCGCTTGCCGAATGAACTGGTCCCTCGACTGCAAAGGGGCTCAAGGTATGAGCCCCATCACCAAGCCCTTTCTTCTGAGAAACCCGCCACCCCTCGTGCAGCACTTCTCCCTCCTACCACACGGTGGCATCGGAGAGCCCGGCTCCAATAGTACAGTCCGCTACCCCCGTGCCGCTCGCATAGTGGGTCCTTCCAGTCGTAGAAAAGCATTGTGGGGAGGCAGTGTGGCCTTTCCGGCCTCCGCCGCTGTGCTGGTGATGGGGGTCGCAGCGATCGCGGCGGGCCCGGGGTTCAGGCCGCGTGGCTTCCCACGCCGGGGCGCGGGGCGAGGAGTGCGACCGCCCTGGTCCCGGGGGAGGCCTGCGTTGCCTGCCCGACAAATGGGGAGATTAAGAGGGGCTGCTTTTAGTGGTCGTGGGTGCCATGTAGTCTTAGACTAAAGCGGAGACGGGTTTTCCCACGTGAGCCCGAGAGGCCCCACCGTGCCGCCGGCCCTGCGGCCCTGCCCGGGGACGGGGGCCCAGCCGTGAAGCAGAGGCCGGAGCCGTGCGCAGCGCAGCGGCCGGCCAGGGTGCACAACGCGGCGGAGGCTGCACATCGCTCGGTGGGTGAAATCTCACGTCAGTACGGCGTTTGCCTGGGAGATGAGTGATTTCTAAGAAATTACTTACGTGCCTCAGTTTTGGCTATTAAATTGAACTCTGACCGCTAGAAGGTCAGGAGCTGGGACCAATTGTCCTTTCAGGCTGCAGTTAGAGCGGTTAATCCCCGCGAGGCATTATGCCCAGGATGGATCTGCGGCTGTGATCATGTTAGCCTTTGTGTTGCCCATTCACTTTTGGAAACTAGTGACTGTGGTGTCAAAAAAGGCATAAATAAATACTTTGCAGCTTTTTCCTGCCCTTGTATTTGGTATATTTGGTGTAGGAGCTGCATAAGTAACAGCTCATGCGTTTATGTTACATGCACGATTACCTTAACGCAGCTAAAATTAAAGGAGTGTCCTGACGAGTTTTTAACTAATTTTTGTTAAGGTGGAAGACGGATGCTTAAAGCCAACTGTTGTTAGCTTACTGCCACGTGGGAGCACAAGTGACAAGGTATGGTGACCCTGGAGTGTGGACATTTTATATTGTAAGTTGGAGTTTTTTCTGCAGTGTAAGTGCTTACCAGTCTTGGTAGAAGCGCTGCTATTTGTATTTAAAGTGAAGTTAGCAAATGGGTAGTCTGTTCATGTGGAGGGTTTGCTGATTTTTCTGAGTAGGTAATATTGAGAAAATGGCAGATGTATTATGCTGGCATTTAGAGCTCTAGAATTATACATTTGTAGTTTATATCTAAAAACTTCCTCAGGCATGTGGTATGTTGGCTGAACCCGAAAATGCTATAACTGACTGTACGGAAACATGTAATTGGGTTTATCGCAAAGTTTTCAATTAATATGTGACTCAAGTAAATATCTTTTGCTTTTTTTTTAGGATGTCTAGTGAAGATTGTGAAAGTTTATAATCTTCAACTTGCTATGATAATTTAAAATTTCCAAGAGTCTGAAGACTGTTGAAATCGCCTCTGGGCAATCCATGAATATAATTTTTTAAGACAAGATATAAATAAACATTTTAATGTGCTTTGAGGTTTGTGGTTTCTTAAGTACTTTATTCCCACAGATGTTATGTGTTAGCTAGACTAGCTGATTTCTGAGTCATGGGTATTATTTACTCCACTCAGTGCAAACTTGTTTAAAACTAGATTTGTACTGTAAAGATTGGCCTATCTTCTCCCTTTAATTAGTAAGAAAGAACAAAGAGTATTTTGAGACATTCAGAAAAATTTATTGAAAGCACTGTACTAGGAGCTGGAAACACAATAAGCAGAACACAGTTCTCCTTCAGGGAGCTTGCAGCTGAATGGCAGAAATAAAAATTCACAAATGAGTCTTGTGACAGAATTTGACCAAGTGAGGAAAACCTGAGAAAGCAGCGTTGACAGGTAGATGCCATTTTTGCCAGGCAAAGTTGGGGTGACATGGAGAGACCTCAGGTGAGGAAAAGGTAGCAGTAAGTCTTATCAGATTGGTTGTTTTCCCCTACAGTGCCTTGGTGAGGTGGGTGCTGTGTCCTCAATGAGAGGCTTGTTAGACGGCTGGTGGGAAGGAGTGTGTCACCAAATAAGCTGGAAGAGGTAGGTAGAGGCCCGACCAGTTAAGGCTTGGGGTTTATTAAAAGCAAGAAATGGAAACCTGGGGTAAACAGTTCAAAGCAAACAGGCCATTTGAGAGACCACCACGGTTGGATCTAAGCTAGACCAGTTGGGTTGGTAGTGAAATAAAAGGTACCCACGACCACAGGCTTACATGGCATGGTACAAGCCTAGTGGTGTTAGATTTGGCTGGTAGGCAGTGTTTAAAATAAGCTTTGAAAAATCCAGGTGGCATGGTAAAATAGCTGCTGTAGACTTAGGCTTAAAGTTGTTGGGTATAACCTAGGTCTAAGGGGCTTGGGAAAAAAATATCCCAATAATGTAAAGTTAAGATGGTCAGAGTAATAGAGCAAAATGAAATTTCTTTAAAGGAATGAAGGGAGAGAGTTGTAAGGCCCAGGGGCAACTAACGGGATAGTGGGGGGAAAATCCACTTTGAAGATGGTTTTAAGTAAAAACATTGGAGTACAATCCAGTGTTTAGCTGAAAACAAAGTTGGGTTTAGACAAGGATTGGTGAGTTGGATTGGTAGCAGCAGTCACAGGGTTAAGAGCAAATGGTAAAGGAAATTGGTGAACAAAAGAAGCTAAATATATAAAACCGCACAGAAGACCAAAAGGGAGCTCAGCACAGGCAGAAGGGCAACAGTAGAGGGCTGGGGTTGATGGTAACTGGAGAGGCCTGGTAAGGAAAGGAGAGCGATGCCCTGCATAAACACATTTTCCCTGCAGATTGATCAGTTACCTGGAGGGAAACAGTCCAGGACAGCAGGAAAGTTAGGTGGCCAGGCAGGGACATGTAGCTTTTTCTTTTGTTCAGAAAATACATGACGAGGACACTTTGAAAATTAAAAAGCAACACTTAGAGCTTTTTACATTTGTAAATACCAGTGGAACTCAATACCACAAAATACAATACTACAAAGAACTTCGGCATACAAATACGGGATCTGAGGATGAGCTCAGTCCTTGGGCACCTCAGCACTGGCCGAAAGCCCTCAGAGCTGGGAAGAAAGCTTCCCACTACTGTGCAGCAAGTTTGCCACAGTCCAAAATGTCCATCAGAGGCATCTGGCCTTGTTTGAGGGATGCAGACCCGGGATACTTGGAGCTGGCTGTTACCTGTTAATGGAAGGAAGATGTGGCATCAAGTCAAGAGCACTATCCTCGTTAAAGGCCCTTCAGCACAAGTATGCTGGAGTCAGATCTGCAGAAGATGCTTTTGTAGGCTGAAGTAGCACTTGGCAAGTCCAAGGTACTTGAACTACTGTCTAATTCACAGTTTCAGAAGTCCCAGCAGCACACACTTCCCACTCCCCTCCCTGGCTTCCACCAGGATCAAGTCTCTATTTTGAGGCGTGTAGCTTGGATAGTTTTTACTGTTTTTGCTGTGTACTTTCCAGCCAGATTGCTTGCTGATAGCTGAGATTTTTCTTCAATCAGGCTATCTTTAGACCCATTTCTTCTCTGAAAGAAAATGTACAGTCAATCCAGTGTTTCTCAAGTACATCTGGGAAAAAAATGAAATCAAATAACATCCGCAACTACTATACTTTTTGAGATACCACACTGTAACTCCAAAAAATTTCCACCAGGAAGATGGCTCAGTAGAATAAGTGCTTGCCTGGCAACTGCAAGGGTCTGATTTCAATCCCCAGCTCCACCAAAAAAAAAAAAAAGATGAAAAAATTTCCTAATATCAAAAGCAATTTGGCATATATCCTCTCAAAATCTATGCAAAAGAAAAAGGATATGTTTAATCTTAAATATGTAAAGTCTAACAATTATGTGCATAAGTGTATTCATGAAAATCAGGCACTAAGCATAATTCCTAAACAAGCATTTCAGTCTATTTTCCAAGCAGAGGAGATGACAATAGAGAGCACTTTGTTACTTGGGGCTGGAGGAGCTTGTAGGTGAGGAAAGTCCACATCTCTAGCCAGCACTGCCTTGGGAGAACACACTAGCTATTAGTGGAGCCTGAACACCACAGACAGGACCTGTGTGGCAGTCCACAGCCACCCATGAAGGAGCTGAGGGTGAAAGTTGCTTGTATTTTTTGGCAATACCTTAGTGCCGTTCAGTCAGTGCCCATTAGTTATCGCTCAGTTTGTTTTTTTGAGACAAAGTCGAGCTCTGTGCTTTAGACTGGCCTTAAACTCATGCCCTGGCTTCCTAGAGTGGTACCTGCTACGTGGCTCAGCTCTTACGTCCCAACCCCAGAACTGCTGTTGGTTAGCCAAGGTCACACATGCCCTTGCACGAGCACCGTCCAGCAGATAACTGCCTTACTGTGGTTGAGAGTGAGCTCACGAAGTCCAACCTCTAGGTAGAAGGAATGTGAAGGGCGGCTCAGTCCAGGGTTTCCCACTGGGTAACTGCTGCACCCAGTTAAATCCTAGCTCCACTCAAACTCTCCTTTCTAATTCCAAGTGTCAATCCTAAACATATGTTCCAATACACTTCCCACATTTCCAGCTCCATCTCAGAATTTGTTTCCACGGAACCTCAACTAAATTTGCTGAAGTCATTCGGGTCCTTGCTAAAGTCATCAAAAAACAAAAAAAATGGGGCAAATGAAAGGGAGCATTTGAAGGATGTCACCAGGGGTCCATGAACTTCCTGAGTTTATATACAAAAGAAAGTTTTGTATATAACTACAAACACACTTACGAGAGACAGTGGTTATAATGGGATTTTCCAAGGGATCTGTGATCCAAATGAATAAAAAACAGAGTTGCAGACAATAGCTTGACACTGATCCATCATAAAAATCAACTCTTTCTGGAATAGATGTATAGCTCCATAATGAGTTCATCCCATTGTCTTTCCAGCCCACATTTTTTTCCATCTATCTTATTTAAAAATATACCTAGAGAGATGACGTCAGACTTCAGACCTATGTTCATCACTGTGCTTCCCTGAGAGAACCATCTATTTCAGCTCAGGGTTACCTTGATCTCAAGGCAGGCAGGTGCTCTACTGGAGTTTGAATTCCTTTTTTTTTTTTTTTTTGGTTGGCGGAACCGGGGATTGAACTCAGGCCCTTGCGCTTGCCAGGGAAGCACTTATTCCACTGAGCCAACTCCCCAGCCCCCTTGAGTTCCCTTTTAACCACATTGGTAAAACATCTCTAGGATAAAGGTAAGTCTCTGATGGGGAGGACATAGGACTCCAGCCGTTCTGCTTTCTATTGATTGGCTGTGCCTTGCTTCTTGGTCAGTCTCCTACTGCCTTTTCCTATGTTTTGGGTATATTCTTTTAACATACAGAATCTCAGAATGAAGTTAAAGAGTCAACACAAGAACTCCCCAAAGCACAACATGCTTCTCAAAATTGTCATTAGTACAACATCTTCTTAAAACTTTATTAGCACTCACCTGATGAACGGTAGAACCACCAGAACCCTGAGCATCAGAAGAACGGGTCACTGGAAGTGGTGGTACAAGATCTGTTTTTGAACTGCAGAGTGAAGTTTAGAGTTAAATGAATGGGATAGTATGGTACCAGGAGTGAGAACTTAAGTTCCAGAGGGCATGGGGTTGAAGGAACATTTCCATCATTGCTGAGAGCCCGTCCTGCTCTGAAGCCTGGGCCTGGTGACATGCTTGAGCCACTTACTTTACTTCTGAAAGAACAGATCGCTCTCCATCTGAACACTGAGATCTGCGATACTGACGGTAACTTCGTGGTGAATGAGAATGCCGAATTCGGACTGGGTCACCCTGAGTCCTGGACAAGAAACCACAAACAAACATCAAAAATCATAAGAGAAGGGCCGGCCAAATAGCTCAGTGCATTGAAGCACCTGCAAGCAGGCACAGGGGCCTGCCCAGCCGGCCCCACTCCCCGGGCATGCTGAGACAGCGATGGAGATGGCGTGGTGGCACGTGCCTGTAATCCCAGCTCTTGGGAGGCTGTAAACAGGCAGACCACTAGAAGTCTGAGCTAGTAGTGAGTCCCTGAACACCCTGTAGACCCTTCCCTCAAATACTCACACACAAAAAAAAAAATCATAAGAGAATTTGGACTTTTTCCTTAATATTGAAAGTGCAAATATAATGACAACTTTCCAACTGGCTTGTTCAAAGAACTTGGCTGGGTTTGAAAAGAACCTGAAAGCGTGAGTGACGTAAACATCGTGTCAATATAAAAATGCTGCCTTGAGCACACATGCAAAGAAATGGAGCTCTTCTAGGACCTGCATGCATGGGGGCGAAGATGTATAACTTTTAGCCACCAAACTTTAAGTGAAATTATACCTTGTAAGCCAGGTGTGGTGGCACACACCTGTAATCCTAGCACTCAGGAGGCTGAGGCAGGAGGATCATTGTGAGTTCAAGACCAGTCTGGGCTACAAAGTGAGCTCAAGGCCAGCCTGAGCTACACAGCTAGACACTGTCATAAATAAATAAATAAATGGATAGATAAATAAAATGAATGTCTTGCAGTTGAATAATCCCCAGTAGTGTGGAAGAAAAATCTACAGCACAGACAAAATGGCATTCTTACCAGAAATTAACTGTTGTCCTGGCCTTGTATAGTCCCTGACCACTCAGAATGCGGACTACACTAGAAAACTGGGAAGACAAAACTTCAATGTTCTCACCACACGCATAAGGATATATGAAGAGGCACGTATGTGAATTGGCTTAATTATTGCCCAATGTAAACATAATAGTCATATTATATACCATGAATATGTATAATTAAACCTTAAAAATTCAGTCTTTGGTCTAAAGATGGTGGGTCAGGAATGCCAACCTACAGTTTTCCTGAGTGGGAAAGAAACATCAGTACCAGAAAGCTCTGGCTTTCAACTAATGGTGCTAAGACAGGAAACAGGGCTACAAAGTGAGCTCAAGGCCAGCCTGAGCTACAGCCCGCACGCCCTGTGACTGAGGGGTCCTGTCATGCTCCCAAACCTGTTCAGGTCAACGTGGTACTTCTACAACAGAACCACTCTGGATTTACATGACAGAGTTTTGGCATAAACGTAACTCTCTTGATGGATTTAAAAAAAAAAAAGGATAAAAATAAACTTTGTTACCAATCAATGAGTATGTCAGAAAAAGGATTCATTTAAAATAGATGTTAAAGAAAATTGGAAATGAATGTATGGGATTGAAAACAGAAGAAAGGATGTTTAAAAAAAAAAAAAGCCACCTCCTACCTACCACAAAGGTGAAGATAGGGTGGGAATACAGAATGAGATCATTTTATTCTGCCCTTTTTGACCTCTTTTCCTACACTCACTTTAATTAAAATGTACAGACAGGCTGGCCAGATAGCTCAAGGGATTAAAATGCCTGCTTAGGCAGATGCAGAGGCCAGGGGCTGACCCCTGGCCTGCCACCGCCCCACCCCAGGGGCACGCTGAGATGCTGACTGAGACATGGTGGCGCATGCCTGTAATTCCAGTGCTTGGGAGGCTGAAAAACAGGAGGATCACTAGGAGTCTTTGTAGTGTGATCCTGTACTGTATATTTTTTTTTTAAAAAAAAAGTACAGACGGAGCATAGGAAGGCACAAAAGAATAAAACTGAATTGCTTGAAACTCAAATAAAACTTATGAAAAGATTTTTTTGAAGACATATTCCAAACTGGATATGGTGGCACATGCCCAGAATCCCAGCACTCAGGCGGCTGAGGTAGGAGGATCACCCGCTCGGGGCCAGCCTGGGCTACACGGCAAGGACAAGGCCAGCCTAGATGAGGTATCAGATTATCTCTCAAAAAAGCAAAACGAAACATACTCTATTTTAGTGTAAGGGATCTCTTTCAGCTGCTCTTCTGACAATCCAGAAGGATCCACGAGCTCCTTTCTAGAAGGGAACAGGCAAGAAAGCAAAGTCGTCATACTGGTACACACACGAGAATTACTCACCATCAGCAGGTATGTTTTCCCTTTTAAATCGTGTCCCCAGATGCAGTCTTTTTTTTTTTTTTTTTTTTTGGTGGAACCAGGGATTGAACTCAGGCCCTTGTGCTTGCCAGGCAAGCATTTATTCTACTGAGCCATCTCCCTGGCCCCTCCTAAATGCAGTCTTAGTAAAACATTATAAATGTAAATTAGGGGCAAAGATGAAACCACTAGGATATATTCAAGGAAAAAATGGGAGGAAAACCTTTGGTTATCTTTCAGTTTTTCTGCATCCACACTTCGCTGCCATCGGCCACTTCTATGCAGATCTGCCTCTCTCCCCTGGGGCGGATGTCTCTTTCCTCCAGATTTTTTATTCCTTAGGATTGGTTTTAAAACTACTGGCCTGAGGTCCACTTGCAGGGGAGCCAGGGGGAGCGCAGTAGCCCTCCCCACACCATGCGCCTCAGATACTGGTGACAATGAAGGCACACTGGCATACTTCGGACTGTGGTTGCCTCAACACCAGAGAGTTTCTTGTAACCGCATTAAACTACCTGGCTTTTACAGCAATGGGAGGAAAACCCAAACCACATACTCACTGAATATGCTTCCACAACTCTTCTTTTGCTTGGATATCGGGGCTTCTCCTAGAAATGGAGAAAACAATACTCAGCCCTGCACACATGCTTATCTGCAATCTAACCGAGAACTGAAGTAGTTCTCAGGCTGCGACGGTCTTACTTGCCAGCTGAGACCACACAAGGAAAAACTGAACAGGGACAGCTCCTGCAATGGTCAGGGTAAAGGCACGAGGTGATTTATCTGCTGGTGCCTTGGAAGAAAAGCCACATAAAACCCTGCCACAAGCAGAGCTGCATTTAATGGCAGAGCTTCGAGCTGCAGAGCCGGGTCCACGGCCCCTCCATGACTGTACAATGAGGAGCACTTCAGGGGCTTTGGTTCTGAGCCTGCTCGTTCCTTGTCAGTAGAGGGAAAAGAAGAACTTGCTCTGAATCTACTACTGTGAAAGGTCCTGACACGATCTGTGATTACCTCCTACAAGCAATGCCTTCAAGGAAAAGCAGCTGCAAGACGGCCCAGGCAGCTGACTAGGTACCTGATTCGTCGCTCACCGACGCCTGACACTCTGTTTCTGAACTGAACCTGGACCCAAGCGGGTGGAGCCTGCCCTGGCTCCCACTCATGCTGCCGCCCGCCCTAGGCCCATTTTCCTCCTTAGCTACCAACGCCACAGAGCTCTTCCTCAACAATGGCTTGAGCAGAAATTACAGCACTGTCTTTAACATCCTAGGATGAGAACTCTAATCTCTGAAGTATGAAGTACTCACCTCAGTGAAGAAAGGAACACTAGAAATCTATTACTCTGTGGTTACCATGGACTTTATTTTTCCCTGTGAGAAACTGATAACCTTTCTTCAGTCCCCTCAAGAGGAAAAAAGTCTAAACAAAAAAAACTCAAGGAAGCCTCAAACCCTAATACTCTTATCTGTGGAATTTTATATTAATAATCTTTATAGGCATTTGGGGGGCTCCGTTCAACTTTCCTATACAAAATGCTGTCGTGTTTCTCGGTTCACAAGGGCTCCCCTGAGCTTTCGCGTAGGCTTCCTGCGCAAGCTCCTTTTGCAGCTCCCTCTCAGGTGGGTCTCCTGATCTGTGCCTCAGGGCTCCAGCGAGCGCCTGGCCTCAGCCTCTGGGAGTGCCGTGAGATCGCAATGTGCCACTGTGTCCAGCTATTTTTCTTTTACTTGAACTTTCTATTTTGTTACTTATAAGCCAAGAGACTTTTTACCTACATTATCAGGGGGGGAAAAAAAATTAAGGTTTCTGGGGCTTTTGCCAGGTACAAAAAAAGTGGCTGTTAGGTGTGTGCTGGTATTGTTTGGACCAGATGTCACGCCTATATCTTGTACTCTAAATAACTACTCTAAAATAATTTAATAAGTGCTATTTTTAGGTTGGTATTAGCCATTTATTAAAATAATGCTATGAGGTTAATAGAAATAGCAAAGAACCAAAGAATTAAAATGCCAGCTATGTAAAATTCCAGCTAAAACCCAGAAGTGTCTCCTGTATTCATTCATTAGCTACCTAAAGGCCCACAAAACAAGACACCTGTGCAATAAGGTACTGCAAATTTTTGGCCATTTTCAGTTATCCAAATTATTGAATACTATAGGAAATACCTTTTATTGCTGTCTCAGAGTTAGCAGAAATGTTGTCTTAGCCTGAATAAGACCACTAGTTTCCAGCCATAAGCAATTGTCTTAGAAAATTCAAGAATTTATTCTGTATATTAAAGTTCTATATAGGGGCTGGTGAGATGGCTCAGTGGTCTAAAGTACCTACTTGGAACAAGCTTGGCAAAGCACAGAGACTGCGGTTCGATCCTCCAGCACCACATGCCAGCCAGCCCCGCCCCCTGGTGGGCTGAGCTGGCCACACACACACACACACACACACACACACACACACACAAAATAAATGTTAATAAATAAATAAATAAAGTTCTACATAGCATCACAATTTTTAACTACACTGACTTCTGAAATGTCCAGTAATTTCAAATAGCATAAGGCTATTAGGAGGAAGAAAACTAAAAAGCTAATTGCCCCTGATTCCAGGTCACCTGTAACTGAAAAAATAAGGAACATATACTACATGTATGAAAAATAAGGAACATACTATTCTATGTTAATGAGGAAAGTACTACTCAATGCTAGTATCTGCACACATTTAATCAATAACCAATGACTGCATGATCCACAGCTCAACATCATTTTATGGACTTAAAAACCTATGGAATTTTCAGTCATTTTTTCTTAATTAAAAGACCCTCAATAATGCAAATGTTTTACAAAAACACTAAAGAAATAGAACCGTAAGTTGTCTATAGTTACAACATACATAAAAAAATAAACATGTAATCCAATAGTCTTTTATTTTCTGAAAAATCCTTCACACACACCCATGCAAATATTCCACTTTATTTTTTAGTTTTATTGTATTTTTGTTTATTTATTATAGGATCTCACTGCACATATCAGACTCCTAGTGATCTTCCTGTTTTCAGCCTCCCAAGCACTGGGATTACAGGCATGCCATCGCGCCCGCTCTCACTTGCCATCTCAGCAAGCCCCGGGGGCGGGGCCTGCACGCACACCGGGCATCAAACCCTGGTCCCTGCATCTGCCTAAGCAGGTGATTTAGTCCGATGCGCTACCTGGCCAGCCATAAATATCCACTTTAAATCAATCACAGAAACTTGTTGCATGAGACCTCACAAATCACTTTCCCTTCTTCTAGAACTTCCAAATTAGAACACTTAAATTTACCAAGGATTTAAAGTCCATCATTGCCTATAATCTTCCTCTAAAATATGCAATTATCTAATAAATATCATGGAACAGCATGCTCAACGTATTTTCTAACAATATGTAATATTCCATATTTGGTGTACTATATTAATCTTAATAAACATAGCAACACTTGCTATTTCTGTGATCTTTATACTGACCACTGAATTCAAAAGGAGACTCAGAATTTAAAATATGTAAATTCACGAGATTATCTTCTTTAGAGCATTCATAGTACTTAAGTATTTTGGGAATTTTTTATCATATTTCTCAGTAGTCAGAATAAAAATTAGTAATATCCTATTTTACCTCCTTACCCCTTTAATTTAAGAAACCTGACAGCACTAGCTGATGACGATGACGCAGGCGTCCCTTCCAGCAACTCCACCTTACATCTTTCCTAAGATGCCAGACTCACCTGCCCTTACCTGCCTTCCACATTATCAGGCATTTTCATAAAGCAGTAAGACACCGTTGCCACCAGAGGGAGCCCAAGCCTCCTCCTGCAAGCAAGTTCACCCGCTATTGTTTGAACTGCAGCGCCCCTTCCACATCCCAGTGAGGAAAGATTCACTCATGCAGGACGCAGGTTTTGTTTTACCGCCCTCCTCCCACTTTACTAATAGAAGCATCGATGTCATGGCCTTGGGCTAAAAAATATACTAGACCTCACTGTACTCACTGTACTTAAGACTTTATCAGGTAAGAGCTAGGGGTCCCTGAACTCTGATGCTACCATTTAATGATGAATAGGATTTGCAGCCTTTTATTAGGGATTTTAAAAAGCCACAATGAATCAATCGACAAACACCAATACAAAACTGTATCGATACAATATCAGTAAGTCATCAAAACAGCCTCAAAGTGCAGTGCACAATCACTTCTGAGCCTCACTGGGTAATTCTGTATGAGCAGTTCATACAGAGTGAAGCAGGGCCATAAGCACGTGGGAGAGAGTGGGGGTTCACTGCATCTCTGAAATGGCATATGTGTATTAACATATATGCATATTATATTTTATATGCATTTATATTTTACAAATTTAGATTCTCCTCGAGCTTTGTTTCTACTTTTAAAGAAAGCTGTAATAGGCCGTAAATTCTCAAAGAACTGAATCCTCATTTTTAGGACCTTATTGCAAGTTAGCCTACTCTGCTATCTTCACTTCTTTTCTCACATTTAGAAGAAAAAAAAAAAACCTTGCAGAATTTCTAAAGATAAACTAACCAAGACCTGGAGTAGTCAGTCCCATTAAAACTGCCACTGCATTTATTTGTCACAGGCATTTAGCATGTGTGATCCAAATCCAGGATCATGGCCTGACCACCTGGTATGGGGAGTGGGGGGGAGCTGGAAGCTCACAGAGAGAGGGAAATGAGCTAAAACTGGGCATGTCACAGCATGGGCAGAGTTCTGACAACAGCACCCAGAAGTTAGCTTTCAATCGTTGTCAATAAACCTCACATGCTGATGTCCAAACTTTACATACAAAGCAGCCCACTCGCTTCCATCTAAGGCAATCCATCCTCTTGCAGAGGCACATTTTGACTCAGCTGTCCACTTCACATCTCCACTCGACTCCCTACTCTGAATCTCAAGCCTAACGAATAGAAATCTTGATTCTATCCCCTACATATCTGCAGTCCACTCCATCTCTCAATGAAGTGGCAGCCAATAAGCTCCAAAGCCAAATGCCACCCATAATTCTTCTCACGTCACAGCCATCTTTATTTCCAAGGCAACAGTACATCTCCTGCTCTTCATTTCTACCACCACCACCTTTTCTATTTTTGGAGATGGGATCCAATCCTCCTGCCTCAGCCTCCCGAATGCTGAGATTGCAGGCACACACCGCTATGCCCAGCTCACCACCAGTTTTTCCAACCTACAACTTTTGAAGAGTTTCACTTTATGAAAGCATAAAACAAGCCTAGGAAAATCAAGGGTATCCAAAAGTAATTTAACTGACATCCAAAACAAACTCTAACAGTTTTTAAATAAAGATTGTACTATCTCGTCTAAAGTGTCTAGTATACAATAAAAAATTACTAGACATGCAAAGAGTCAAGGAGAGGTAGCCATTCAATAACTAGAAGGGTGGGCAGAAGAGCCATCAATTGCAACAGACTGAGAGAAGATCTACAGTAAGCAAATTCCTTCAAGAATATAAACTGTCAAGGGGCCGGAGAGATAGCTCAGCAGTCTAAAGCGTCTGCTTAGGCAAGCCTAGGGACCACAGTTCAATCCCTGGCACCACATGCTGCACCAGCCCTGCCCCCAGGGTGAGCTGAGCTGGCCACCAAAAGGAAAAAAAGAAAATAAACTGTCAAAATTTACACATACTAAGTAGAGAAATTAGCACCATTGTGTTAAAGAAACTATATTTCAATTTAAGACTTCCTTCAAAGAAAATTCCAAGCAAAGACCTTCACTGGGGCATTATATCAAATACTGAAAAAAATAATGTGGATATTAATCAACTCTTTCAGAAAATCAAACAATCTCCCAACTAGTTTGAATGGCCAGCGTAACTTTTACCAAAAACCTGAAAAAGGCATTACAAAATATTATAGAACATTTCACACAAGCAAAAAACACTTAAATACTGTCTAATAGTGTACAGCAATATGCAAAAGGATAAAATACCACACTCCTGAGAGGCTTATCTCAGGAATACACAGATGCACCATTCAAAACTGAATCGATGCAGCTCTTCCACTAACAAACGGAAGCGGAAAAAAGCCCACACGAAAGTACACAGATGCAGAGAAAGCTCATAACAAAACTAAAAACCCACTGATGATTAAAACAAAACAAAACAAAACAGAAGTTGTCACTGCCTCTTAGCAAACTAGCACTAGAAGGCAGCTTCCTCAGTCCTCCTGGGACATGTCCAGCCCTTCCCACCAAAAAATAACAAAATGATGACACCTGCTCTCTTTGCGTGTGTTCACGTCCACATGGTGATTCAACACCACTAGCACACCACTGCTCAAGCTCGCCAGGATGATAAGGAAGAAAAGTAAATAAAAGGCCCAAGATTAGAAATGAAGGAGAACAACCTCTATTTACAAACATTGATTGGAACTTAGAAAACAAAGACAGTTCCCAAGAAGGACAGCAAGCTTCTAGGTCCAACAAATGAATTTAACAAGATTGAAGGATGACAAGATATACTATCAGTATTTTTTAAATCACATTTTCTATAGATTGCACTGACAATTGGAAACAAATTCTAAGCATATGCAGCTCAATTCCATTAAAAATGTTGGATGTTTAGAATCAAACTAAAATACTGTAAATACAACAACTCCTAAAAACTGTGAAATGCTACTAAAAGAAAGTAAAGAAGGATGGGTAACAATTTTTTAAAAATTTATCTACAGATTCAACATGTTCCTAATATAAAATTTGCAGTCTTTTTTTGATTGGGTAGTAAAAACTGATAAGCTGATTCAAAAATTTACATAAGCTAGCTAAAAATATCTTTTTTTAAAAAAAAGAACAAGAAAGAGGCAGGCCAAGTACAGTGGTGCACATCTATAATCCAGGCACTTGGGGGGCTGAGGCAGGAGGATCCCCAAGAGTTCAAGGCCAGCCTGGGCTACACAGTGAGTTCGAGGCCAGACTGGAATGCATAGTGAGACCTTGTCTCAAAAAAGTGAAACAAACAAAGAAGCCAGTAGAGAACCTTACCCAGACTCCAGTTTCCCTATGCAGCTGCAGTAACTAAGACATCACAGTGACACAGAGACAAGCAAACAGCGATGAAACACAATCAGCCCACCCATATGGTAAGAAGTCAACTCATTTTCAGCAAAAGCTCTCAGGCATTTCAGCGAAGACCGTGTTTTCAGCAAACAGCACTGAAATAACTGGATAAACACCAGGAAAGGCTTCTTGGGATCTGCTTCATACATATGCAACAATTAATTTGAGATGGATCATGGTCCTGAATATAAGAACAAAATCCTTAAAGATTTAGGGGCCAGGGAGATGGCTCAGTGGAATAAGCACTTCCCTGGCAAGCACAAGGGCCTGAGTTCAATCCCCAGTTCAAACAAACAAACAAACAAATAAATAAAAAGCTTCTAAGGAAAGATATGAAAGCACCTTCGTGACCTTGGAGTAAGCAAATATTTCTTAAGATAAGGAAGGAAAAAAAGACTTAATTACAACACAATGAAACAACAAAACCCTTGTACACTGGGTCTTATCAAAATGCAAAATGTGGGGCCCTGGCCCTAGCTCAGTCCTTTAAGTGGCTGCTTCCACAAAGCTGTCAGCCTCAGGTTGTTGGAGTTCGAACCTCACAACTCTCCCGCTGGCCAAACGTGCCCTGAAGCCATTCGAGGAACCAAAAAAAAAAAAAAAAAAAATGCAAAATGTTGGGATACCCAAACACAATGTCAATAACATGAAAAAGCCACAGCCTGGCAACAAGCATTCACAATATACACACCTGAAAAGATTCACAGCTAAAATACACAAAGAGCCTTACAAATTTTAATTGCATAAAAAGTAACTGCTGTTTTCAATGGAACAGCAACTCTTTAGTTTCTCCCACAAAAGTACATGGACCAATGAATAAATCTGTAGGAGACTGTATTGCCTAGTAAACAGTACCATGATTTCTATAGCAACAGAAAGTCTTGTACTCCTGATAAAAACAAAAAGACCCTGGGTTCGGCTCTAGTCTGAAGGGAAGCATCTAAGGCAGGCTCCCATTCAGGCTCTCTGAATTCCTTCCCTGGCCTCTGTTAACTTGACCCTGCACCCTCTTGCCTGCCTCCCTCGGGACTCCCCATATACCTCCCCATATACCTAAGCCAGCTTGTTTTTGCATCACCTTCCCAACAGCCTCCCACTGACCCAGCTTAGGCACTGGCCCCTCTTCCCATAAGCAAGCAGTGCCATACATCCAACCACTCAGGATCCCAATGCATCTGTATACAGATACAGTCCACTTTTCAGTCCACTTGAAAAGAATGTTTTGGGAAGCAGAGTAGGGGTGGGTGGCCTAAATCTTGAAGCACAGAGTTAACACATACACATAAACATACACACACACACACACACACACACACACACACACACACGAGAGAGAGAGAGAGAGAGAGAGAGGGAGGGATGGGGGAGAGAGAGAGCGAGTGAGCGAGAGAACTTCATTACTTTATTATCAGCTCAAAGAAAATTGATTTGGGGGACTGGCAATCTCACTGTTATGGGGTAACTGTGCTCACACATGGCTTTGCTTAGCAACGGGAGGAGCACACAGATCCCAGCATTAGGGTGTAATGAATCACTGATTACTGATCACAAATGGTAATTTGATGGGAAGACATTATTCACATCTGGTTCAATCTGGAACAAGACTTTAGAGAATTCTTCAGACTCAAATTGAGAGAAGCAGCAGGTGTTTGACCAACAAAGGAGACTATTCCTATTTACCCAGTTGGATGCAAGCATTTATTTAAAAATAACACGAACCAAACAAAAACGTGGTTTCCACAGCCTTGTTTCCATGACATTTTGTTTGGCTGTGCTCCAACCTGTACAGCTTCTAACATAGTTAATGATTTTATAACATAAGAAGGCAAATATGACAAACAATGGGATAATCGCAGTGGAACTAAACCACATCAGAAAAGCCGGGCATCCACGTGCTACTTCAAGCTTAGTGTGTTTGAGTCAAGGTGTAAAAGGCCTACATACGAGCGAGATCGGTGTCGGGATCGCCTGTTGTTGGGGTCTGACTGATTTTTCTCCTTTTGTCTCCGGAGCACGGCTTCCCACTGAGGTGCTGAATCAACCATATCATTCTCCAGACGTATTCTGAAAAGTAAAATCATTCATCCGAAGTTAACATCCCTTACTCAATGCCTTTTTTCTTGTTTTATACTAAGGTTGTTTTTCAAAGGTATTTATTTATTTTTGTATTTTTAGGGAAGGGTCTACAGGGTGTTCAGGGTCTCACTAGTAGATTGGACTCATAGTGATCTGCCTATTTACAGCCTCCCAAGAGCCGGGATCATAGGCATGTGCCACCACTCCTAGTCTCAATTGCTGTCTCAGAGTGCTCCAGGGGCAGGGCCAGCACGGTAGGCCTGGGGATTGAACCCCCAGCCTCAGAGCCTGCTTGCAGGCACTTTAATCCACTGAGCTGTTCGGCAAGCCCCATTTAAAAGGTATTTAAGTAGGAGCAATTTTATTACAATCACTGAAAACTGAGAATGTGTTAACTAGATTTATCTGCATACACACAAACACAAACATAAATATAAAATAGTCCAACTAAATATACAGATATACTATTCATGAAAAACTTTTATGTTTGCTTTAAACTTCTCTAAGAAAGAGTGTCAAGTGAAAATTCATTTAAAACAGACTTAAGGTTTGATGATAATAGTGATCATAAACTCTTCTAAGAAAAAAGTCAAGTAAAAATTAAAACATATGTAAGGACTAGGAAGGTGGCCTAAGCGCATGCCTGGCAAGCACAAAGTCCTGTATTTAATCCCCGGTACCGCATGCCATTCTGGCCCTGGAACCCTGGGCATGCCATGCTGACACCTAAACCAGGCATAGTGGTGCACACCTGCAATCCCTGCACTGGGGAGGCTAAGACAGGAGGATCACTATGAGTCCGAACTGCATAGTGAGACCCTGTATCAAGGATAAAAATTTATA